CCTGGAGGGGCAGGGGAGAAACAGGCAGAGCCCCCCAAACACCTGCACCTGTGCCTGGGGAGAGGAGCGCCAGAGAGCCCTGGTGGGCTCCCAGGCACCGCCGCGCTGGCACACAGCCCCCGCCAGCCGCGCCCCTGGGGCCGCCCGCCCCAGCGCCTCGCAGCCCTTCCGTCACCTGAGTCGCGGGCGTCGCCCTCACCCTTTCAGAGGCGCTTTAAAAAAGTAACTCCTGAGGTCACGTGCGTGTTTCAGGAGGCTGAAGGTCCTGCTTGGAGCCCACTAACCACAGGCCCCAGAGCCCAGACGCGCAGTGGGGGCCAGGTCTGGGGCGGGGGGAGGGGGTCGGGGGCATCGGCCGAGGGGCGTGTCCGCAGCCCCCCAGGCCAGGCCCCGGCTGCCCCACCCCCTAGGCAGTCTCGGGCCTTCCAGGCGCTTCCTCGGCCGTCTCCTGGCCCTGCTGACTGCCCACAGGCCGGGCACCCGTCCTTGGAGCTCCATTTCCGGGGTGCAGGATGGGGGCCGGCCCGATGCCCCCGTGGGTGCACAGGATGCCGGGCAGGGGCCAGGCGGTGGCTGGCAGGGGCCGGGGGCGCTGTGCAACACCTGCCTCGCCCCTTTCCACGCAGGAGCTGTTGGGGTACTCCACGCAGCTGGACAAGCTGCAGAACCTCGTGGTGAGTTACTGTTCAGAGCTGTCGGATATGACCGTCATGTCCCATGACGCCATGATGATCACGGACGAGATCAAGGTGAGCCTGGGCCCCGGGCCCACGGGCAGGCGCGCTGTCCTGGGGGTGTGAGGAGGCGCAGTGCCTCAGGCCCACGGCATACAGCCCCGTCCAGCAAGGTCGCCAGCCTGCCCACTCTGTCCCTCCGGGGGGCGTCTGCCTTCCCTGCACACCCTGGGCCTGCTGGGGCGGGTCTGGGTGGGCTGAGCCAGGCCGAGAGGCTGGTGCCCTGCAGGAGGGCGGCAAAGGCTGCCGAGAACAGAAGCCACCGAGGCAGTGGGCGGCAAGGTTGAGGTGCTTGCTGGCCCCTACCTGCACCAGAGCCCTGGGGGGGTGGGGGCCATCGGGCTTGAGTCAGAATGGGTGCCCGGAGACTGGAAGGGGCCGAGCAGGCTGGTCACCGAGGCCAGGGCTGTGTTACTCCAGGCCTTTCGGAGGCGGCCTGAGGTCCAGCATCGGGTGGGGTGTGGGAGTACTGTCCAGGGCCATGGGCCGTGTGGGTGCTTGGGGGGGTGGGCACTGGGCAGATTCGGGGCAGCAGCCCAGCTGGGAGGTGACCAGGCTCTGTGGGCTGGCCTAGCCACACCTGCGAGGCGGGCCCTGGCGGGGTGGGGCGGCCGCGAGGGGCGTGGCCACCTGCCAGGACTACCCTCTGGGGTCTCGGGGCGGGATGGGGACTCCACTGGCCGCGGGTTTCGCCGGAGGGCCTCAGTAGACAGATGCCCACCCCCACCCGCTCTGTCCCCAGAGGAACATGCGGCGAGGCGAGGCCACCTTCATCCAGGAGCGCAGGGCGCGGGAGAACCGGCTCAACCAGCAGAAGAAGCTGATCGAAAAGGCCCACAGCAAGGCGGCCAACGAGAAGTACCGGCGGGTGAGCCCGGGACCCCACGCGGGCAGAGGGGCGCCCCCGGCCCCCGCCACTCACCTGCGCCCCTCCCGGCAGGGCCAGCAGGACCTGGACTTCCCCACCAACCTGATGGGTCTGGAGACCGTGAAAGGTGCGCCCGGGGCTCAGCCAAGCCCGCCTGGCCAGGGCCCGCGGCCTCGAAGCTGGGCGCCTCCTGTCCCCGGGGTGTCTCTCGGCTCGGTCCGCCTCCAGGCGCGGCTGACCCCCGCCCCCAGCCATCGCCCAGGAAGTCGGAGCCCCCCGCCACGGCCCTGCCCAAGGGCCACCGGGAGGGTGCCGGCCCCGCGAGGGTCCCACCTCCAGAGCCCGCTCTGCTCTGTCCAGTGGCGAAGACGCCGCCCTCCAAGGCCGAGGCCCAGTACCAGAGGGACGTGACGGCTCTGGTGGAGAAGGTCAAGGCCGCCGTGCAGTGCTCCCACCTCTGGGTACTGCCCGCCCCTGCACACACGCTGCGCGGAGGCCCCGCTGGCCCCCCCCTCCGGAGCCGCGCCCCGGCCCTGCCCGCGCCCCACGGCGGCCACAGCCAGCCTGCGCGGTCGCCCCTCGGCCGCCGGGCCCACGCCCACACCGCTGCTCTCCTGGCCCAGGACATCGCCGGCCGCTTCCTGGCGCAGCAGAACACGGAGGAGAACCTGGACCTGCAGACCGAGGACTGCGAGGAGCGGCGGGCGCGGCTGCAGGCCCTGATGAGGAAGCTGGAGCTCGAGGAGGCCGTGCTCAAGTTCCACAAGACGCCCACCTCCGTCAGGTGGGCGAGACCCCCCTGCCCGCGTGGGGGTGCCCACTGCCAGGCCGCTGTGGGTCAGAGGAGCCGCCGGGCCCCGAGGCCCGCGGGCAGCCCTCCCTGCCCCGGCTGAGCTCCGGCGCCACGCTGGGGCTCCGCTCAGCACCCACTGGGCGCCGGGCCGCCCTCCCCGGCCCTCGGGACGGCCATCTCCTCCCCTGTGACCCTCAGCTTTAAGTCGCTTGAGAGGAGGATGCAGGACATGCTGACAGAAGAGGAGAAGCGGCTGCAGTCGGCCCACGCCAACACGAGCAGAGGCCAGCAGCTGCTGCTGACCATCCAGACGGGCATCGACAACCTGTACCTCCGGCTCATGGGCGTCACTGCGCCCAGCACCAAGGGGCCCGTGGCCCCCGGCGCCCTGGACATGTACAGCAAGCTGGCGTTCTGCGAGGCGAGGCTCGCGCACCTGGCCGACAGGGTGCAGGCACTGGCCGCCACGCAGGAGGTAGCTGGTGCGGGGGGGAGACCCTGCCTGGCCTGTCCCGCAGAGCCAACGGCCCCGACCCGCAGGTCCAGGCCAAGGTGAGGGATGCCCTGGAGTTCTCAACTCTGATGGAGAAGCAGAACACCAAGATCAGCTTCGAGGACGTGGAGGATGACGTGATAGGTACAGCCGGGCGGGAGAGGCTGGCAAGGGGGCCGGCGCCGCGCTCCCGGTGGACCCACAGCCTGGAGGGACAGGGGCGGTGGGGGGCTCAGGGACTGGGGGAAGGCGAGGCGTCGGGAGGTCGAGGGGGTGGGGCAGGCCAGTGGGCTGGGCAGCTGCGGGGAGGTGGCCAGGGGCCAAGAGGTGCTCGGCTGGGCGCGCGCGGCCGCTGTCCGACCCGAGGGCGCCCTTGTCACTCCCCTCGCAGAAACCTTCCACTTCGCCGACATGGACCACAGCTACGTGCCCACGCGGGCCGAGATCAAGAAGAAGGCGCAGCAGCTGGTCGATGACAAGTTCAAGGGGACCAAGAAGAAGAGGAAGTGACCTCCGCGCCCGCCCGCGCTCTGTTACCCAAATAAACATTTTTTCTGGACGGCGGGGCCCGGGGCCCCAGATGCTGGGGGCTGGGCCTGGGGCTCTGCAGGAGGTGGGGTGGTCGCTGTGGATCTGGGGCCCGGAGTCGGGGGCGGGGTGAGCCAGGGGCCAGGAGGAGACGCGGACGCGGGTCGCCGCAGCCCGAAGCCGGCGGCTGAGCCAGAGCTGCTCGCGCGC